TATACTTTAGAAGAAAAAGGAAATAAAAAAGTATAGCAAGCTGTACATTTGAGAATCTTCCTTCCAGGACTGATGAGTCATGCTATGTAAGAAAAAGGAAAGAAAAATGCAAAGCTAGCTGTATATTAGAGGAGGGCAGTCAATTGCTAGCTGTATATTAAAGGAAGGCAGATTGACTGCCCTCCCATTATCATGCCTTTCTCATTTCTTTTTATATTATGCAGTCATGGTTAAGTCACGTTAATATTTTATATTAATTTTTTTTTAAGATAATAAGACATGTTGACGTGGTTTAACCATGATCACACAAATAGGAGAACATGATAAAATGAGGGCAGACAATATGCCTCTATATTAGAGAATCTTCATATATTCTTCTTTGATAAAGGTGTTACTGAGATGAGAGAAATTTGAAATTTTAAGATGAAGCTCAGGTGCATAAAATAAACGTTTTTTTGAGGTAATAAATTTATTTACTCGTTTACTCAATGTCATAAGTTTTAAGTTTTTTAATACCCAAATTTGGTGCGCAATCTCATTATTCAAATTTTATGATTCTATTTTCCTATCACAATTAAATAAAGGATATAGTCAATTAAAAAGAATTATTCCTTTTTTATGTCAAAAATTATTAAAGTTTAAATGAACAAAAAAAGAAATTACATATTTTATAGGAAACGTTAATAATAAAATTTTAAAATGATAGTGAATATTAATTTAGGTTTGAACTCGAATTTCTGAATTTTTGCCCTTGCTTCTCTGAGTTCCCTCTTTAGATTAGCCGATTAGTGGTTCCATTCTCAAAGTAGTGTAGTTGTCTTGTTGCCTAGCTTTGCAAGTGTTGTGGTTTCCACTTTGTGATGGCTATATTACGTGGTCTCGCCTTACAACAATGATTTGATGTGATCTCGCTCATCTGCGGTGATTTTATGTGACGTCTCTTCAGCAATGATCGGTATGATCGTCAATAAAGGTTTATTGTATCTATCATTTTGAAGAATGAGCTTGATGTGGTTCGGGAGTGCATTTTCAATAAGGTGGATATGGTTGAATGGATGAAAATGTCCATCTAAGATTAGAAGAACTAGTATTCACTACTCCTGTTGGATTGGTCGTTGTGTTATGCTTTGTTTATGTGAATTTTGGAATTGGTCTAGATTTACTCAATGATGTGCTGGGAGGAACCTATATCACTGAATAGCTGCCGTCGGAGTTTTATGACACCCTCAAAAACAAGAGGAGCCGCAAATCTGTTAGCTTAGATGTGAATTTGGTCGCGGCAGCTCTTAAAATGGTAGCTAAAACTTGGTAATACTAAGTTTTGGGACCAATTGTTCAAGGTTGTGTTCAGATGCTATCTTTGTTGACATGGAAGGCCAACCAGTAGAGGGATGACATATTTAGAAAATTGATTCCTAAACCACCCATCCAAAAAGCTTCGCGAGCAGGATCTTGCAGTCGTGTGTATTGTGCAACCAATTCTGACGAGGGGAAGACCGGTGCTGCATTAGATAAACCATGTGACGCTGGGGAAAGTTACAATATAGGTGAAGAAAATTGCAAATCCAACAAGCATCCAGAGTCTCCGCAAACTGATGTTGTTTCTGTACTGAGTGAGACCGGGGACAGTCACGCTTTAGGCTAGGAGAATCGCATATGCAATGAGTCAAATCTATTGGCTGATGCTGCGTCTGGTTCCCAATGTAACAGAAACAAGGGGAAGACAAAGAACAAGAACCAGAGGGGCAAGAACAAGGAGAGCAGAAAGTAACCCGCTAGAAATTATATATATGCGATATGAACCTTGTTTTGCTGTGCAAGAACTTGATGGTTCCTTTGATATAATATCAGACAACTTATCTTTGATGAGCATTGTTTGTAACAATTCATTACATGTTGCAATGTCAGTTTTGACTGGATACTGTTGGTTAAAGACGAAACCCCTAACCATCAGAGCAATTTACCACTAGTAAATATTCACCATTTTATGTAATAATTTACGTAGTTTTTTACTATATATGTGGATCAGCTTTTCCTTTAATTGTTTCCATTATATTTCTCCGTGACAATTTGATATATAATTTGAAAATGCAAAATTAATAAGTGACCACATGTTAGGGATGATCTGGAACAACTCCCTAGTTTGTGTGTGATAGGATTAAATGCACACCACAAAGTAGCACATAAATGTTTTATTGATTTTCCTTATTAACACTAAGATTTGTCAATTGTAGCATATGAAAATAAGGGTATTTCCCTCAGAAAATTGGTTTATTTAACTACTTAAAATGTCACAAAAACTGGGCTACTGTTCCTACTGACCAGCCACCGAAAAATAATTATTAGACCGACTTACACTTATCTAAAGTTTACGAAATTTAATATACAGATACTAGATACACAGAGCTACACTCACACAAATTTTTGAGATTTTTGGAGTTGATTTGCTATTTAAATTAAATCGAACAAAAACAGGACAGAAACATATTTTAAGTAGTAAAAATAGATTTTAGTTCACAAGTTAAGAAAACGAGTTAGGGGAAGTGTTATCCACCATCAAATAATCATGCAAACATGTTATGTTTCATTCAAATTCTTTTATTTCCAGATGAAGATGCTCAAGTTGGCTCAATGTTAGAACTCAATCTGTTACTCTTTCTTATGTAGTATGTTAAGATAATGACATTTTTAACTTTACTTAGTCCTTAGCATGCAATCTAGAATGGCGTGTTCATAGATTTAACAAGTAGAAATCATTAAGAACGAAAAGAATTTGAGTCATCACAAGACATTGTAAGTACTGGCGTTGTCTTACTTATCCTAGAAATTGATTTACATGTTAATCGCAATTAACAAGTATTACTCTAGAACATATGTAGGTCCTCATTTGATAAGGGTAGGCGCACACATATTTATAGCATTAGAATCCTAAATATGCTTACTAAGTATGTATCGTAAAAAACACATAAGGAATTTATCAATGAGACAAGTAGTGAACCAATTTTCATCCATTCATAAAAGTAATTCAAACGAAATGTCATAACAAAGCAATCATATTCGGGGCTTCAAAACAGCCCCTAACTACTAAAAATTTAGTTACATAATCCTTAAGTTAAAACAAAAGATACACATGAGTTTGAGAAAATAGAACCGAAAGAAATCGACTGAGGCCTCCTTTTTCCTTCCTTCCCCAACGCTACTTTTAAACCAATTCTTGCTTCATCATTTTCTTCTCCTTAACTCACCATTAATCATTAATAGTCATTTAGTGATAACAATAAGTGAGAGGAAATGGTAAAAAAATTGTAACTCCTTGGGTAGCCTTTATACCAATTATTCGCACTTAATCCTCATCTTTAATTCCATTTCCTCTGATATTTGAATAGGTGTCAGCTGGTTTGTTCTTGGCGGCATTAGTTTTGGCTGCTACATTTATTGGGTTTATTGTCTTCAATGCTTTCTTGTCAGTTACAAACTGCTCAGCCTCTTGGAAACCTTTCAATGTTAAAACAACCATAACGTTTTATAGAAAATGATATTAACAATCCGTGAAATGCTCCAGAAAACAGACATCCGTAGCTTTCCAAGAATATAAGGCTCATTCTCTAATTCATTTTAAGTTGTCCGCAACTTGCTTCCAAAGTCAGCTGAACTACACAGGCAGTTTTGACGAATTTGTTACTGAAAATTCCACTTGTGCTATTTTTCTTTTCTTTGCTTGACAAATCCTACAAAACACAAAAACAAAGTACATAGCTCAAAAATATAAGGAACTAACTAAGAAAAGACAAGTGAATTTGATGTAAAATATATATAAATATGAGCTTATCAGTGTGCAGGGAGTTAATGACCACTTACGACAATGTTTTTGATAGAACAATATATTTACTCTAAAAGAATGCTGGATTAATTTGGTAAACAATGCTTGAGTAGAAACTTTTACTCAAAATTCTTTGTGTTCAAATCGCAAAGTTTTGTGCTTATGATCCAAACCGTTCGCATTATGAATAATTCTATAAAGATCATCTTTGCAAAAATGAATTAAAACTAAGGTCGTTTAGTCGATCTATTGTAGCAAATACATAGACGATTCATAATACTTTTATCAATTCATTCATCTGTCTTTATATAGTTTGATGACTAAACAACCTTAGTTTTAATTGATTTTTCACAGAGGCAATCTTTATAAAGTGATTTATAATATGAACAGTTTTGATCATAAACACATCGGCAAAGAACAATTTTGAGTAGGAATTCCTAGTCATCGTTTGAGTAGCCAAGTATTGTTCTAATTTAGTATCGAACTCATCATTTATTAGAATTGAACCTAAAACCTAAAACCTATCACTAGACCGCTCTTCGACATGTAGTAATTCCTTCTCCAGTTGGCATATCGACTCTTAGGCCCGAATATGCTTATGACATGCATGAATTTCTACACAAAACTCTTTGTGTTCGAATCACAAAGCTTTGTGCTTATGATAAAAACCGTTCATATTATGAGTTACTCTATACAGATCATCTCTGCAAAAATGAATTAAAATTAAGATCGTTTAGTCAATCTATTGTAGTAAATACATAGACGGCTCGTAATGCTTTTATCAATTCATTCATCTGTTCTTATGTAGTTCAATAACTAAACAGCCTTAGTTTAATTGATTTTTTACAGAGGAGTTGTTAATTGGTTCCGGTGATTCGGTTGTTGACGGTACCAAGTAGTTGTTAAGTTTAGTTGGCATCTAACTAACCCAAAGTAGGCAGCCAAATAAGAAAACTCGGAGCAGAACAAGTGAACTTTGACACCATTGTGCATGCTTTTTATTAATATCGAAATTTAGTAATCTTTACACTCTGAAGCAACCACCACCTAACAAGTAACAAATCAAACTCTGCTGACTTGGGCAGCTGAGTTGGCCAACTCCTCAAACTGTGCTGACTTTAGACCTCATCAGAAATTTAACGATCAATTTACTATAAATTCTTGTCTCACTAGCTGCCACTTACTCCCCAAGTGAGAGACATTCAAAGATGGAAGTGACAATGTGGATGGCTTTAGCTACCACCATTTTCACAACCATGGTAGCCGTGCCTTCATCGGCAGCGAATACCGTGACCTTCGTCTTCGGTGACTCCTTGACAGATGTAGGGAACAACAACTATCTGCAGTATTCTCTTGCAAAGTCAAATTATCCCTGGTATGGTGTCGATTATGTTGGTGGTCGACCTACTGGGAGGTTCAGTAATGGAAGAACCATCGGCGACTTAATATGTAGTGTTCTTGATTCTTATAATGTTATACTTACCTGACGTCGATTTTTTTCTTTTCCCTTGTATCTTGATGAACTTGTTGAATTTTGTTTGTGATTTTTGTAGCCGAAAAGCTTGGGATTCCATCGCCACCACCTTATCTATCCTTGTCACGGAACAATGATGCACTGCTTAAAGGGGTCAATTATGCATCTGGTGGAGCAGGAATACTCAATAGCACTGGACTCTATTTTGTAATCACATTTCTTTCTAAAATATTTTGATCGTGTCGTTGAACCTACAACTTCAGGTGCAGGAGTAAATGCTCTATAATCTTACATCCTTTTTTTACTTTTCTGCGTGACAGATTCAGAGGCTGTCTTTTGATGATCAAATACAAAATTTCAAAAAGACAACGGAAGTCATCAAGGCTAAGATTGGGGCACAGGCTGCAGCCAAGCTCTTCAAGGAAGCCATCTTCTTCCTTGGACTTGGTACTTTTTTATTGGACAAATGAAATCTTGTTCTAGATGAAAAGAACTCATTTTTAATGTAGATGTGGGTTAAGTCAGTGACTAATTTCCTTGCACCCGAGTCTAAAGTCCCGTTTCCCGTAATTAAAGTAGTTTAGACAATTGCTCGTGTATATCTAAGATCATTTACTATATATTTTTTCCTTTGCTTTTTTTCAGGGAGCAATGATTATATCAACAATTACTTGCAACCCTTTTTACCTACTGGTCGGCAGTACACTCCCGAACAATTTGTGGAATTATTGATGCGTACCTTAGAGGGACAACTTAAGGTTAGTAAACACTAACAAGTAAACAACACATCCCACATCTCTTACAATATTTTGAGAAAGAAGTACCGCGCTTTTCTTAAATATCAAGTTTCATAATCATATTTTAAATTGGTTACTTTGGCGAACGTTTTTTAATTTGCTCACAATCTTGGTCTTTGATCTTTCATTCCAAGCAAACTTTTTGTAAACTAGTTTGAGTTGTCTCGTTCAAAAAAATCCAGGGTTTATACTCAAACTTGGCTTGTTTCTCATTGAGGCAAAGAACATAGGCTTCGATTGTTTCTTTCACAAACTTCAACGATCCAAAACTGGTGCAAGCTCGAGCTCTTTCGAGCCGATTTACAGCCCTAAACCTTAGTTAATTAACAATGCATGTTCAAATTGTTTGTGTTAGACGCTCTACCACCTGGGTGCCCGAAATATGACGTTCCATGGTCTCGGACCACTTGGCTGCATTCCTTCTCAAAGAGTCAGATCAAACACAGGGCAGTGCTTAAACCAAGTAAACAATATGATGCTACAATTCAACACCAATGTAGAAAAGCTCCTTGCCTCCCTTGACAGGCAACTCCCAGGGGCAAAAATCTCATTTGCAGACACATACGGAGACGTCCTTGACTTAATCCAAAACCCTACAGCTTACGGTAATCAAACTCGATAACTCAAACTGTAGATTCGAAGTTGATTCGCAGATGTTTAACTTACAATGTACGTACCAATTTTTCAGGGTTTAAGGTTTCGAACCTTCCGTGTTGCAATGTGGCCACAAACATTGGAGGGCTATGCTTGCCTAATTCACAGCTATGCAGCAACCGGAGAGAGTACGTGTTCTGGGATGCATTCCACCCTACCGACGCAGCAAACGCGGCTCTCGCAGATAAACTCTTCAAGAAACTATTCAAGCCTCCTTCCGGTGCACCAGCACCTTCACCCTAGATGGCATCTCTCCGATGTAATTCTGCAGAGTTATGTCAGCCGGGCTTTGTCTGCAGACAACGACTTACTTATTTTTCATCGCACCTTCCTACAAAGAATTTGCACTTCAATATTAATTTCTTCCATAAACCAAGCACCTAATTTGGATTGTAATCGGCGTTTTAGTCTTTGCTTAAGATCAAATTACCCGAGTGGAATGTATTATGAAGAAACGAATATATATATCTATTCCCGCCATCCAATTGATCATGAAACGGATGGTCATTCACCTTTAAATTTGATATCTAAAGAATTCATTCTTTTAATCCTTTAACATCAAATTCAAAAGTAACCAAGAAAACGGGACTCTCGGATTCAAATAATTAACGAAGTGACAGGAAAATGAAAATAACTTTTTTTCTGAAGTGGGAATTTGGGATCAGACTGACGTGCAAACATAATTCAGCAGAGCCGAAGCCTATGTCACGGTTTAATCATCATTCCCCAAAATAAATGTCATCAGCAGAAATTTTTCAGTGTGCTAAAAACATTATCAACTACTAAGTATCACAATACAATAAGTTATTAAATAATTTTCAGTGTAACATAAAGTGTGGTGTGCCAAAAAAATGACAGTAAGAAACCCAAAAAAATTACAAGAACCCTAAAAAATAAATTAGCAAAAAAAATGGGGATTGGTTGCTCTCAGTCAAGGGCCAAAGTTTGTCCACATGAGAAACATCAAACAGTTGAAAAAACCCTAACAAGAATCAACCCAAAAAATCAAACAATGGGCTTCAAATGCTTGCCAAATCCTTCTTCTCTTCCCTAAAGCCAGAGGTCAGATCCAAAAATCAACCTCTGTTTTTAGAAAACAGAGTCATCAAGAAACACCCAGCACAAGAAGCACCGCCGTTGATCTGCGCGGTTAATTCAGGGGAGGGAAGATCCAACGGTTCTAGCCTCGCTTCGGTGTGGTTAAAGCAAATAAAATCATCATCGAGCAACAAGAAAAACAGAAAATTTGGGACTTGGGGGTGTTTGGGAGGTGAGAAAAATTGTGGGACTTACGAGAAAAAGTCAGAACTCATCGGAGTGAAATGAGAGCCTGCCTGTCCAGAAGTACCAAGTATCCTTTTGGACATTGATTTCGCATCTTTTCATAGTCTCCCAGCCATTAACAACGGCAGAGAGGTTCACAGTAGATGCTTTTTTGCAGATTCTTAATCAAGAAAATCAAAGAAAAAATACAAAACAAAAACAAAAACAAAAATATAAGAAAAAATCAAAGAAAATTGAAAGTAAGAAGATTCATAGAGGAGGAAGCAGAGATTGATAGCTGCGGAGGTGCTTGGGGTTGAATTTATAGAGAAACAGAAGGTTTAGGGTTTGTGGTTCTTGATAACTTCGGAGCATATGATTTGGTGTTTTGAATGGGCCGAATTTTGAGATTGGGCCTTAGCACAACCAGCCTCAATCCAAATGGAGTTTCGGTCCGATATGCTTTCAGAAAGATAAGTTGAGAAAGAGAGGCTCATGAGTAAGGATGGGCAAATACACATTGGTTATGAGTAACCGCGGTTATCCGTCCATTTAAATTTAACGGTTGAGGTTATGGATAACCGTTTAGATAAATAAACAGTTATGGGTATAACCGTTTACCCGTGAAATTTAAATGACCGATTATGGATATTACCTGTAGTTATAAACGGGTACCCATTTAACTGTTTATTTTAATATATGTAAAACTAAAAATAAAAAATAAAAAAATTAGTTTCTAACTAGATTTAGTATCCCGAGATATATTTGGTTATAAAAGGCTTCACTTGAGAGAAAAATATAGTTGATAGAATGAACTAATATTTAATATATGTGATTGAATGTGCTAAAGCATTATAGTGTTCGACAATTTTGTTTTGGAGTCTTTTGGAGCTTTGACCAATTCAAGATAATAATTACCTTGAGCATTTAGAAATATGTTATTATCAGATGATGCGTACTTATATATATATATATATATTATCAAAGTTGTTAGAGAAATTGAAGTGAAACGAGAGTCATGTATTATTCTGTTTATTTTCTTCACTAGTATCAGATAAGAGAAATGAACGTAGAGATGGACAAATGAGGAAAACATGATTATTACTTTCTGTTTTTTATCTTTTTGTACTACCCATACGATACAAGCATACGTCTCTTTTAATGCATGTAAAAAGGGTAAAGTACAAAAAATCATCTCAACTATTAGGGTCACGACAGTTTCATACCTCATCTTTTAAAATTGACAATGTCATATTGCATCTTACGAATTTGTGACAATATCATACCTCTGTCAATTTTTCTGTTAAGCGCTGACGTGGCAAGAGACGGGGACCACTTTCTATTAAAAAATTAATAAAATATTATTAAAAACTATATTTTTTTAATATTTTTTAAATATTAAAATAATGAATAAAAGTAAAAAAAAAAAAAAAAAAAAAAAAACTTAGTCATCCCTTCCCTCCCCCTCTCTCTCTCTCTCTCTCTCTATCTCTCTCTCTCTCCCCATCTTCATCTGCTTAATCTTTAACACACAAAAAATAAAAAAAAATAAAAAAATAAAAATTTGAAAACCCAACCCCACCCGCCCCCCTCCCCCCCAGGAGAAGGAGAAAGAACCAAAGAAGAAGAAGAAGGAGGAGGAAAAAAAAAATTGAAAACCCAACCCCACCCGCCCCTCCTCCCCCAGGAGAAGGAGGAAGAACCGAAGAAGAAGAAGGAGGAAAAAAAAAAATGGAAACCGCACCAATTTCAATTTTTTTTTGTTCTTCTCCTTCTCCTTCTTCTCCTTCCTCCTTCTTCTGGGTTTTTTTTTTCTTTTCTTCTGGGTTGCAGTTTCCATTTTTTTTTTTCCCTCCTTCTTCTTCTTCGATTCTTCCTCCTTCTCCTGGGGGAGGGGGGCGGGTGGGGTTGGGTTTTCAATTTTTTTTTTTTTTTTTTTTTGTGTGTCAAAGATTAAGCAGATGAAGATGGGGAGAGAGAGAGGGGAGGGAAGGGACGACTAAGGTTTTTTTTTTTTTTTTTACTTTTATTTATTATTTTAATATTAAAAAATATTAAAAAAAAATTTAGTTTTTAATAATATTTTAATAATTTTTTAATAAAAAGTGGTCCCCGTCTCTTGCCACGTCAGCACTTAACAGAAAAATTGACAGATGTATGACATTGTCACAAATTCGTAAGATGCGGTATGACATTGTCAATTTTAAAAGATGAGGTATAAAACTGTCGTGACACCAATAGTTGAGGTAGTTTTTTATACTTTATCCAAAAGACTTACACACCAAAACAATAAAAACCAAACTTCTACTATTTAAGCAATATAATTTTGACTTCTATTCTTCCACTTTCCACCCTTAACCATATGTGATTGTTTTCTTTATGTGGGCATTCATTCCAATTTCACAACAAAAATCATTACTTGAGTATTTATAGTCTCAATAACTACTAATGTTAGTGAGAAACAATTCAAGAATTAATTACAAAAAACAAAAAGGCACAACTTTGTATTACTTGTAGGGCAAGTAAGGTACAGAGAAATATCATCACAGTAATTCCTAAGCCTATCTTTTGTCTTTATGCAGCTGCACCCCTTTCTTTCTCCTTCAGTTAAATTTAGGCCACAACGCATTGTTAAATACACTTCTAACATTGAGCTAAGGAACTGAATGCTTGTTTCCTACAAAGTTGTTCACAATATTCATCAAGTAATCCAGGTAATCTATAAAACATGGATTCAATTTCGATATTTTTTCAACAATGATTGCATGAAACATTCACCATGAAGCATGAACTATAATTTTACTTTTTTTTTTCTTTCAAATTATAGATTCAGCTTAAATTTATTGTTCTTATAATTATGGTGAATTGAATATGTGTGAATAAGAGAAGCGAAAAAAATGGGTTTCAAACCCTACACGCATAGGAGTCGCATCCTGAAACCGCACTGCTCGAGCCACCAAGTCATTCCTGCTCCAAAACTCTAAGGTCCAAAACAAAGCCATTTTGCATCACCTTTCTTATGGACATGGACTACCTGCAATCTACCCGCAACCTAATTGGGCGTATGCACCAAACCGTCCCACTTGTGTTTTTTTCTTTTGGGCCTTGTTTTATTTTTGGCTCGCATAAAATAACAAGCCCATGGGTTAGGCCTTGTTTTTCACTTTTCCTTCTTAGCCCAATAATTGGGTATATAATATGTTAACCTATTTACTTCTTCTTTGTTGCCCAGCAACCCATCAACCATTCTTTTGTGCCCGCAAGCCATGGCAACCCTGTAACATCCCACATCACCTAGGAGAGTGGATCCTGTAAGTCTTATATGTATATTCCCATCTCTACCTAGCACGAGGCCTTTTGGGAGCTCACAGGCTTCGGGTTTCATCGGAACTTCGTAGTTAAGTGAGTAGCGCACGAGAGCAATCCTATGATGGGTGACCCACTGGGAAGTTCTCGTGTGAGTTCCCATAAACAAAACCATGAGGGTGTGGTCGTGGCCCAAAGTAGACAATATAGTGTTACGGCGGAGTCGAGCCCGGGATGACGTCGGGCCTGGGCCGGCATGTGACAATTTGGTATCAGAGCTAATCCCTGGCCGGATGTGTGTCGACGAGGACGTTGGGCCCCTAAGGGGGTGGATTGTAACATCCCACATGTGTGTCGATGAGGACGTCGTGCCCCTAAGGGGAGTGAATCCTGTAAGCCTTATATGTATATTCCATCTCTACCTAGCACGAGACTTTTTGGGAGCTCACTGGTTTCGGGTTCCATGGGAACTCCGAAGTTAAGCGAGTAACGCGAGAGCACTTCCATGATGGGTGACCCACTAGGAAGTTCTCGTGTGAGTTCCCACAAACAAAACCGACAAAACCGTGAGGGCGTGATTGGAGCCCAAAGCGGACAATATCGTGCTACAATGGTGGAGCGGGTCGGGGATGTGGTGGACCTTGGGTGGGGATGTGACAATTTGGTATCAGAGCCAATCCCTGGCTAGATGTGTGCCAACGAGGACGTCGGGCCCCTAAGAGGGGGTGGATTATAACATCCCACATCACCCAGGAGAGTGGATCATGTAAGCCTTATATGTATATTCTCATCTCTACCGGGCACGAGGCTTTTTGGGAGCTCACTGGCTTCGGGTTCCATACGAACTCTGAAGTTAAGCGAGTAGCACGCGAGAGAACTCCCATGATGGGTGACCCACTGGAAAGTTCTCGTGTGAGTTCCCAGAAACAAAACAATGAGGATGTGGTTAG